AACCAAACTGAGAAGAAATCCTTTTGTCTTCATAAATCCAAAAACATGTCAGTTGTTCTTTGACTGCTTTCTCTTTTCTCAGATCGTGTTGTTCTTGTGTGAAATCCTTTTTGCTCACAGTCCAGCTGATCTGCTCCCAGATCTGTTAGAAAGCCTCACTGACCTTTGACCCCGGGGTTGGGCTGGGGACCTGTCAGCAGGTCCAGAGGTCACATCTCCAGAGAAACATGGAGGACTGGGAGTCTGTTCATTAGATATTAGAGCCGTTTACAGTCTAAACCCTAAACCTTCATTTATTCATGTTTGTCCTGATGCGTCTGAATGATCTCTGCAGATCTTCAGTCAGACCACAGACAGAGATCAGATTGTGAATTCCCTGAACGGTAGAAGAGGGAAGGGAGTGGAGAGCTGCTTCCTGTCCGGTCCTCTGCTTGTTTCTGTGGGACTCTGAGCACTCAGCAGCAGAAAACATGCAAATGTCGGCTTTAGACGGCCGAGCCAAACAGGAAGCCGAACCTGAAAGGTGTAGGGATGAGATCTCAGAGGAGGATTAGAATACATTTGAATAAAGTTTTTCATTTTTTATTTTCATCTTTGTAATCTTTTAAGCATCATTGAATGGCTGCCTGAGAGCCGACCCTCAGCCGTTTGAATCCCCATCCAGCCCAGCAGGTCTGTGGATTAGTTGGAAACAAAGAGGACTCCATAAAGGGTTTAGGTACCAGGATGCTCATAAACTGTTGACCAGCATTCCACCAGACTCCATGTCAGACTCTCTTTTCCTTAAACATCCACTGTTTTGACACATTTAGGATATTTGATCATGTTTGGCCTCGTTATGTTGCTTCTTCCAATTCCAAAAAACATACAAACGGATGGGAAAGTCAGCTAAACTGCTCTAATCAACACAGACTCTTTGATAAAGGACACACAGAATATGAAAAAAATACGATAAATAACTCATGTTTCCATGGATGTATATATTTTATTATTCAGGACACGTTGAACCAATCAAGGAAGCACAAGCACATTTTACAAAGCCGGTGGCGCCGCGTACGGAGGGACGGGGTCTGACTGAACAAGTCCAGACTCCAGAGGACCGGAGCAGGTCTGGGGACCCGGACCCAGACTCCAGAGGACCGGAGCCCGTCTGGGGACCCGGACCTTTGGGCCTTTGGGCCTTTGGGCCTGGACGTCCTAGTCCATGAAGCCCCCGTACCTCTTCTGCTGCCCGCTGCCGTTCTCCCAGGCCCTCTTCATCACCCCCCCGCTCTTGCTGTTCTCCACCAGCCACTCGGGCCTGCCCACCCGCCTCATGAAGCCCCCGTAGCGCTTCTTCAGGCCCCGGCCTAGCACCACCTGGAGCAGGTGGTCCGGGGCCCCGCCCCCCTCCGCACGCCGCATAAATCCGCCATACCTCTTCACTGGCTCCTCCCCATGGGAATACCCCTCCCCCCCCCGCTCCCTCTCGGCCGTTATGATCTTCAGGATTTCCATGCGGACGTCTCCGTCCTCGTCCTGGTCCCCCGGGGCCTCGGGCTCTGGGGGGGGGGGCGCGCCGGGACATGAAGCCCCCGTAGCGTTTTGAAAACCCGTCGTAATTCACGGCCAGCTCCTGATCGGGGGAGTGTTCAGACACCGGGGGGGGCACCGCCTTCTCCTCCTGCTGGGGGTCAGAGAGGGAGAAAAGCTTCTCCTCCTCAAACAGGAAGTCCCGGCACAGGCGCCGCTTCTGGCTGTCCAGTCCCGCCTCACACTCAGGGGGGCACGTCTGGGGGGGGGCACACGCCATTAGATTAACCCGGTGTCACACACAGAGGACCCTGACCCTAACCCTAACCCTGAGCTGAACAGAAACCGTGTCATCTGCTGTCCCTGACTGGACAGAGTGGGACACAACAGCTTGTGATGGACACTAGGTGGAAGCAGAGTGTTTACAACCCGTGCTCAGTCTAACCCTGCTTTACAGCATCTTCCCTGGGGGCTGGAGCCTATCCCCTAACCATTATCCCCTAACCACTATCCCCTAACCACTATCCCCTAACCACTATCCCCTAACCATTATCCCCTAACCACTATTCACTAACCACTATCCCCTAACCACTATTCCCTAACCACTGTCCCCTAACCATTATGCCCTAACCACTATCCCCTAACCACTATTCCCTAACCACTATCC